GGGCGGGCAACGGCTCGAGCCAAGAGGGGTGCAAGAGGCCGGACTACATCTCCCATGAAGCACCGCGCCAGCTCCCGGGCAGGCAGACGGGCTGCTCCGCCCTGTGCATCATGGGAGTTGTAGTCCAGGTCCGTCCCCGGGGCGCCGGGTGCGTCGCGCTGGCACCGTCAGCCCCCAGGGCCCAGAAGTGGGTGAAAACCCCCCCGCTGCTTTGGGGGCTGCTTTTGCCCGGAACGGCCCGTGGTCTTTGCTACATCCCGGCGCATCCCGACGGCTCTGGGACGTTTGCACCAGTCCCTTAACGACATCCCCCCGTGCTGCTCCGCCAGGTGCTGTCCCACAACCTGTACACGGTGCTGCGCATCCCCCACGACCCCGTGGCGCTGGAGGAGCATTTTCGGGATGACGACGATGGGCCCGTGTCCAGCCAGGGCTACATGCCCTATCTCAACAAGTACATCCTGGATAAGGTGAGTCCCGGTGCCCCTGCACCCGCACTGCTGGTGATCCCATGCCCTGGGGCGACCACGGGGCTCAGAAAGCAGGGAAATGCTCAGCTGGAGGCCGGACTCGGCAAGGGCAAAGCAGCCTGACTGCGGCATCTGGGCTCTGCTTGGAGCGCATCCGCGACAGCATTTCCCAACGCTGGGAATTGCCCAGCAGAGAAGACCCCTCAGCCCATCCCAGCCCCTTGTTTTTCCTCCTCATCCCTGTGCAAATCCGAGAGGCAACCCTGGGGCAGCAGCAGCGTCGTTGCCGGGTGCCGAGGGCTGGCGAGTGGGTGGGTTTTTCTCTTTTCTCTCTTTTTTTCCATGGCTCAAAGGCACCTTTGTTGCACGCAGCGAGCTCTGCGGCGTGCGCTTCCTCCGGGCACGCGGGCAGAGGAAAAAGGGCTGCAAAGCGGCTGACAATTTTCTTCCACTGCGCACGTCAAAGCCGCGGGCCAGAGCCGGGCACCGTAACCCTTCCCGTGCCCAACACGTTCCCGAGGTCGCGTGGATCGGACCGGGCCGGCCCAATGGGTACCCAGCTCAGTGGGCGCCAGGCGGGAGATGCCGCCAGGAGCCCCGTGGGCTCAAGGAGGGTGGTTTGGAGAGGCTCCATCTTCATCCTGCTGCCAAGTGGCCCTGGGCCCTGAGGTTCCTCACGTGGGTTTTTCGGCGATGACCTTTAAGGCTCCCTTGGCGCCGTCTTCGCCAGGGCTATTACAATCCCGAGGTTCTCCGAGAAGGGGAAGTGGGTTTTCCTGGTAAGCGGGGCCAGGCATGGCCTGGGGCAGTCGTTCCCTGTCGCAGTTCCCCTGCGTTTCATGGAGCCCGACGTGCTGGTCCCCAACGTCACCCGCATCCCTGGTGGCCCTAGACGGCCAACACTGGGGATGGCTACTGGCCTCGGTGACCACACAGCAGGACGGTGGCCACAACTCCTAGATTTGGGGCCCCAATCCCCTTCTCTCCTTCTGTAGGAGTCTTTGCTCCTCCCTGGTAGGAGCAGGGTTCCCAAGTAGGAGTTTTTGCCCTTTCTCCTGCATTTTCCCCCACGAGCTTTGCAGCCAGCTCACCCTTCGCTCTCCGCTCTGGCTCTTGGCTGCAGGTGGAGGAAGGGGCTTTCGTCAAAGAAACCTTTGACGAGCTCTGCTGGACCCTGACGGCCAAGAAGAATTACAAACCCGACCGCAATGGGAACAGCGTCGTTTTTTTCAAGCTCTGGTGTCTCTTCAGCTTCCTTTCTGAAGACAAATACCCCCTGGTCATGGTGCCGGATGAGGTAGGAGCCACCTTCTCCAGCTGCCCAACTCCCTTGCAGCTCCCTTCCCAGCTTCCCAGCACTCCGAAAGCCGGCACTGGGGCTGGAATGTCCCATTATCCTGGGCCTCTTCCCTACGGTTGTTTCGACACGTCCTGGGTGTGGAGGAGAAAGCAAACCATGAGCTGGGGAGGAAAGGAGGTCCCAGCCAGGACCGGCACCGGGGAAGGGGGGTGACCTGGCGGCGGCTCCCAGGACCCCTTGGAAAAGCCCAAGGGCCTCAGGCAGCGGCACCTTGGAGGAGGGAGCAGGGCTGGTGCCGCCGAGCCCTTCCTTGGCTCCACGGCAAGGGCAGCCACGGGGCTCTTTGCCAGCGGTGCAACGAATGTGCCCGTTCTCAGATCCCTAACAAGGAGCATCGACTCCCTTCTCCCTGCTGTGCAACGTCCCTGCAGCTCACCCAGGGGCTAAGCAGAGCAGCTAAACCCTAAGGTGCTGGCAGCATCTTCCCGAATTTAATGGGGGAGAAAGAGAAGGCCCCCGGGAAGAGGGGCAGAGCCGGGAGCAGGGACAGCAGCAGAGCAGCCCCCAGGCCTTGCTGCGCTGCCAGGGGCTGCGCTCAGCCGGGCTGGCAGCTGCCACCCGCCTCTGCGCCATCTCCCGCAGAGATCAGCAAAAAAAGCAAAAGAAAAGGGCAAAAAAGCCCAAGCAAAGCAGCGCTGCGCAGATGCGCGAGGGCAACCGCACTTCCTGCTCCGCGGGAGAGGTGTTTCCTGTTCCCCAGACCGAGACGAACTGAATCATCTTTGTGCTTTACTGGGCTGGGCGAGAGGAGAAAGACCTCGACCCGAAAACCCGAGTGAGCCCATGAGGACGGGGAAGGTCCGTGCAGGGCCGGGGGCTCCAGGTGCTTCACCCTTCCCTGTGGGTCCCCGCAGTCACCCCCCCGTCTTTCTGCCAGACCTGAGCCAAGTCTTGGTGGCATCGAGTTATTTGCAGCAATTGCAGCTCTTGTTAAAAGCAGCTTGTCAAGGTGGTTCCCTGAGGAGGTTCAGCTCCTTCCTCCGCAGGGACCTGCCCCAAGTTGCCACCATCTCCCCAGTGCCACCAAAGCGGCTCCTGGCTGCGCTGAGCCCCATGTGCCCGCAGGTGGAGTATCTGCTGAAGAAGATCTGCACGGCCATGAACGTGGAGCTGCACTCGTGCGAGCTGGACGAGTGCCTCGCGCAGGAGCCGCCGGGCCCGGGCGGCCTCACGGTCTGGCAGTTCCTGGACGTGGTGAACTCGGGGCGCGTCCTGCGGGGCCTCGAGCGGGAGGCCGTCAGCATGGCCGTGGAGGAGGTCTACCAGGAGATCATCGAGGACGTGCTCAAGCAGGCAAGAGCGGGACGGGCCCCGGGGCGCAGCTGCTTTGCCAGGAGTTGGTCCCAGATTTGCAGCTGTGGCAGATGTGCTTCTGCCTCCCTTGGTGCCCTGCAGGACTCCAGACCCTTATCCATTGGGATTTTGCTCCTGGCATCATGTCATTATGTGAGACCCCTCCGAGTGCCTTTGGTGACCTCCGGTTCTCTTGGACACAGGGCTACCTGTGGAAGAAGGGCCAGCTGAGGAGGACCTGGTCAGAGCGGTGGTTCACGCTGAAGCCCAGCGCCCTGTCCTACTACATGAGCGAGGAGCGGAAGGAGAAGAAGGGCAGCATCCCCCTGGACAAGCACTGCTGCGTGGAGGTAAAGCCCGGGGCTCCCGCTCGCCTCCCGTGCCACGGAACCCGCTGTGGGACAGGGGGGGACACGACAGGGCACTGCGGTGGCTTCGTGTCCTTGAGCAGGGGAGAGTCTTGCAGCCACATGCGGGCTCCTCCCGCGCTCTCTGCTGTCCCGCAGGTGCTGCCGGACCGGGACGGGAAGAGGTGCATGTTCTGCGTGAAGACCTCGTCCCGCACGTACGAGATGAGCGCCTCTGACACGCGCCAGCGCCAGGAGTGGACGCTAGGTCCGTGCCCCCCGCCGTGCGCCGGGCCCGGGGAGGGTGGGCAGCCCGTGCCACCGTCCCCGCTTCCCTCCGCAGCCATCCAGACGGCCATCCGGCTGCAGGCCGAGGGCAAGAAGTCCCTGCACAAGGACCTGAAGCAGAAGCGCCGGGAGCAGCGGGAGCAGCGGGAGCAGCGCAAGGCGGCCAAGGAGGAGGAGACGCAGCGGCTCAAGCAGCTCCAGGAGGAGAAGGAGCGGAAGCTGCAGGAGCTGGAGCTGCTCAAAGA